CATTGGGAAATAGGGAGCCTGGCAAGATTGTGGGTGATGAGTTTGCAGAACTTGGTATGGGACAGGCTGTGGAATTCAAGATGATATGTTGCTTGTGGAGGATTCAGCTGCAAAGGCTGTAAGGGCATTGGAGAAATCAAGTATCAGAAATCAAGGATGAGAGCTTTGGCTGCGTTGGTTGTGAGAAAGAGATGAAAAGGGTGCTGTTGCGGAGATGGAGGAATGTGAAGTTGGTCATGGATGAAGAGCTTAAAGAAGAGGTGAGAATCAAATAAAATGCTCTATGAGCTAAAATGAGCAGCTGCAGAGTTTGGTAGAGTCCAAACCAGTAGAGGAAAGGTTTTGGTGGGAGCGAGTAGGATGGTTTTGGTTTTAATAATGATCCTTACATTTTATGTAGCACTTATAACGTCGAAACATCTCAAAGCAGTAATAATAATAATCCTTGCATTTGATATAATGCTTTTTAGTCTCAAAGTGCTTCACAGAGTATACTGTAAAGTGAATTGACTGTATATTTGTGGGCAAAGCGCAGCAGCCAATTGTGCACAGCAATGTTCCACAAACAGTCATGGGTTGAGTGACCAAATCATTATTGTTTTTTTTCTTGAGGGAATATTATCAGGCGTGTGGAGTAAGGAAACTCGCCCAAGATTTTGTCCTACCAGGAATCGAACCGAGGTGTCTTGCTTGCGAGGCGAATGCTCTAACCACTGAGCTACAGGACTCCACTACAATAATTACTTAAGTGTAAGGTGTATGTGTAGATATCATGGCAGCCATTTGTACATGGCAGGATCCCACAAAAGCCAGAAGGTGAATGAGCAATTTAACTTCCCAAAGGATTCCATCCTTGAATCCTAAGATGACAAAGACCGAAAAAATGCTGGTGAATAAGGCTGAACTGGCTGTCACATGAAGTTAAATCTGGAAAACTTTGAGCCTCAGATTGAATAGCAACTGTAGATAACACATAAGCACACCAGATATTTTTCACATTTTTATATATTTGAAGTGAAAGATTGTCATGAATCTAGAAAGTTTACTCCATTAAGAGTTATTTCAGGCAGGAAGCAAGAAGACTGATGATCTTGATTTAGACACGGTGAAGATACAGCATAAAGAAAAGAATGATACAGTAAAAGGCTATATATAAGACAATCTATACTACCATTGTAGATCCTTAATGTAAACACTATATTGTGGACCTAGTTATAAACTCATAAAAATATATTATTGAAGTAAGCTTTTGGTTATATGTATTCAGAAGCTTGAAAACCAGGGCAGGTTAATGATCTTCCATTATTTTAGATGCAAGAAAATAGTGGAAGTAGAAATATTCACTTTTCTATTTTAAGGGAACTTTCCATGTGATTTGAGAGGATGCATTGCACTGGTTATCTGTAAACCAGTGCCTTTCTGGCAAGTACATGTTGACATCCTCATGAAGTAATCCTTCTGAACAAAGGAAACATTTTCTTGAAGCAAAGGAATTTAAATTACCCTCTGGGTCAGATCCCCTTACCCAAGTATCCAAGGATTACGATGGCCAGGTGTATCTGTGGAACATGATGTCTTGGGCATAAGGCTGCACTCCTAACTCAATACCATAACCTGCAGAGTTAGAGCAGTATTTGGGTCTGTACAATCTGTACTATCTGTACTTGGTATCCTGTTGTACTCATTTCCAAAACATCCTCAAAGAATACCTTTCAAATTAAATGCCTGGCTGTGTGATTTTTTTTAAGGGCACAGGATCTTTCTATCGAGGAATGTTCCCACACTTCATCTTTTCAAGGAAGATCATTGAGGAATCCATGACGGAATAAGTGCTCCTTAGCCATTAGTTCTCTCGGTAGATGATTTGAGAGAAAATGTGCACACAAATTAGATCCTATTTAGTCATTGAACTTATCTAAAGAGATCTGTCCAGGACAAGCCATGAAGTAAATGCCTAAAGGCTCATCTTCTTTCTCTTCATTCTCCTTGTGCCCTCCAGTCCCCCAGAGAAGTACATGCGATGAAAGAGAACTTGTTATTTCTCACAGACACATGCTGAGTTTGTAAAACTGCAATAGGTTGGGGGTGCATTGCATTAGCACACTATCCTTTCACTTCAAGAATCTATGTTTGAATCTAGAAAGCCTAATAAGATTGGAAATATTCATACTAGGCCTGTGAGCTTTACTGACATTTAGGGTCAAGGTACATTGTTTGAGTAGAGTAAAGGGACCTTTAACCTGTACTCACTCCTAATCCTGGGTCAGGAAAGTAGAAAACGGGTTTCATTTGACAGCACTGACACCCCTCCTCTCAATCCATCCCATTAAGGGCATTGAGTCATTTATTCTACAAGAAACGGACTAAATAGTGAAGATGTGATAGGAAGCCTCAAAACAGACATTTTCATGAATTGTTTCCTGAACTTAATAATAATAATAATCCTTGCATTTGATATAGCGCTTTTCACGTCGGGAGGACGTCCCATAGCGCTTCACAGAACACACTGTAAAGTGAATTGACTGTATATTTGTGGGCGAACGCGGCAGCCAATTGCGCACAGCAATGTCCCACAAACAGTCGTAGATTGAAAATGAACAATTTATTATTGTTTTTGGTTTTGGAGGGATTATTATTAGACGTGTGGAGTAAGGAAACTTGCCCAAGGTTTCGCCCTGCCTGGAATTGAGCTCAGGTCTCTCGCTTGCAAAGCGAGTGCTCTAACCACTGAGCTACAGGACTCCACAATCAAAGGATGCGAGGAAATACTGTGTAGCATCACAAAACACATGTGCTTCATCCTTAATCTTTTTTGGAAGATTCAAAATGTATATATTTTTAAGAAATACATTTTGACAATTGCAAACCCTGATGTTCTCCCTTCACTCCACATAAGCAAAATACCCTTAACTCTTACCTCAAAAGACCACCCCTACTGCCTTGCATGAATTGTTTCATTTCCCGGACATCCCTTACAGAGAAGTATGGTAATTACACAAAGTGTCTTAAGTGTGCCCAAATTCATTTCGTATTAAACCTGTATTACTAGACGAGAGAGGAGACTTTGATTCCACATGTGCACTCTGAACCTGAACTCTAACATGAAAAGGCATTGCACGTACCTTCTGTGCTACATTCTTAGTTATAACTGTGGCACTCAGGCGTTCATTGAATCTTTAATGCTTATCACATAATAATCATTTCAACTTACTGCTTTTTGTGAGATCACTTCTACATAAAGTAAAACTAGTCTTTAAAGAAACTAGTTCAGTGCTCTTTGATTCTTAGAACAGCTAATGAGCAACTTCTGTTGCAGTTGTCATGATCCTTACTGGGAAATGTTTTTCACTATAGGAGTCAGAATCTGTTAATATAGCCATTATATCAGCTGTAGTGTGAACTTTTCATTGATATTTGTCAGAGCAAGAAAATAATAACTAGAGACATGTAAAGTTCCAGGACAACATCATCGCACTATATCAAATATTCAGAAAATTTTTATTTAGATATTGCCCGTGTTCCACAACTAAGTGGGGCTGCAGGCAACCTGCTTCCTGCCCTATGCCAGCTGTATTTAACCAGCCTAGAGGCATGACAGAACGGGGGTGGGGGGGCACGGCATCGTCAAACCATAGAAATGTTGCAGTACTCCAATGTACATGTGGTGTACCAATACTCAAAAAACCTTGGGTAACCTGACAAACTTGGAACATTTGGAAAAAAGACAACCAATTTGCATTGAACAATTAACTTTCAAGCCATAATACTCAATTCAGACTACAATCAGCATCAGAGATAGATTATTGTTATTGTAGACCTCCCTGAAGCCAACCCCACTGGTGGTTGTTGTAGGAAAGTCTTGACTCTTGGCAGTGTATCGAAACAGACACAATACAGTTCATGTGTTCACATTAAAGCATGTACACACACTCATATGCAGAGCAAAAAAAAAGCTGACATCCTGTAACTAGGTTTCAAGTTTTTTAAAGACAAATATAAAAAGATAATGTTACTATACATTCTCCACACCAATATTTTCTTTTTACAAGTTACAAATAACTTGAGGAGTCCTGTAGCTCAGTGGTTAGAGCACTTGCCTCGCAAGCGAGAGACCTGGGTCCGATTCCCAGCAGGGCAAAACCTTGGGCAAGTTTCCTTACTCCACACGCCTGATAATAACCCCTGAAGAAAAAAAACAATGATAAATTGGTCACTTCAATCCACAACTGTTCGTGGGACACGGCTGTGCGCGATTGGCTGCCGCGTTTTGCCCACAACTAGAGTCAATTCGCTTTACAGTCTATTCTGTGAAGGGCTTTGAGACGTCGAGAAGACGTATTATGATGTAATAATTATATCTAACAATCCCTGCGTTGGATACAGTGCCTTATCACGTCTTCGAGACGCCTCGAAGAATATACCCGTAAAGTGAGCTGAGGGTACGGTCTGCGGGCGCAACGCAGCAGAGGTGTGTGGCTCATCTCCTGAGCTGCTCTCAAGCACAGCTCCAGAGAGGTCCCTGTGCAGCACTGACTGACTGACTGACTGACACCCAGAGGAGGGGGGCAGCACCACATCCAGGGACCACACAACTCTCGCGAGAAGTGTGCCCCGCCCCCTCCCCCCCCCCCCCCGTGTGTTGGAAAGGGGGTGAGTGAGTGAGTGAGTGGGGGAGGGTGTCTGCGCGCGCAGCCACCAGCCCGGAGCGGGGTGGGCGGGCAATGCGCGCGCACGAGGGACGGAGCTGGAAACACGCTGTCACGGGCGGTTCGCGTCTCCAGTGACGTCAGGAGTCCCGCTCCTCCTCCCTCCCCTCCCCCCGCCCCCCCCCCCCCCCCCCCCCCCGCGCGAGCCTCAAAGTCACAACACGAGCGGCGGCGGCGGCGGCGCGAGCTGGGAACCAACCGTCAATCTGACCGGCGTCCGCCATAACGTAAACAAGCAGCGGCGGCCCGTCCGCCGGCCCCGACCCCTCCCGACCCCTCCTCCTCGCCCAGACACACAGGCTGAGCGTCGGCCGGGTCCAGCCGGCGGCGAGCCGCGCAGTGAACGCTGAAGGTAAGAGGGAGGGAGAGACTGGGAAGATGTCTGTGTCCTGGGGATGGGGATGATGATGAGGATGATGATGAGGATGATGGTGGTGGTGGGGATGACGGGGATAGATGGAGCCCGCAAACCGGGTGAGAGGGTTATGGCGCAGCTGCTGAGTCCCACGACCCGTGATGTTTAAATGATTATTATTGTTTTTTTTTAAATTTAATATAAATAAAAATTTCTCTCCCGTTTCTCTCTCTTTTTTTGGGGGGAAGCGGGAGGCGGGCGGTGTGTGAGTGGGAGAGGAGGAGAGGGAGGAGGGGTTCGTGGTTGTGGTTGTGGCCTAGTGTGGACTCAGCCTCCCTCCATCACTGCTGCTAACCTCAATAACTTTGCACCATCCCATCGTAACTGGGCCGACAAGGACCCGAATAACAACCCGGTGCTGCAATGGTTCACCGCTGATGGTTCGTTGCAATTTCTACAACCGCTTGTTTTTTTTTTCTATCGCCCTCTGGGTATTTGTATTTTTTCTGGAGGAGGAGAAGGGGTGGGTGGGTGTGTTGGTGGCTGTGAGGCCCTGTTAGTTGAATGCTTCCCCCCCCCCCCCCCCCCCCCGCAAAATAGGATTTTCATTTTCAGAATTTTTTTTTTGCACAGTTGGGATAAAGGCGGCGGTTGTTTATAGTAATCCGTTTATTCACTCCCTCCCTCCAGGTTCGCACAGGCGTTTGATCCTTTCAATACGATGTTCCGGCTGCTTCAAACGCCAGAGCATTTTCAGGGATACAATTGTTGCCAAGTAGTTTGTGGTCTTTGTTTATTTGTCTTTATTTGAGTCTAGGGTGATCCCTTGTGTAAACAAATATACATTTTTACTTTCATAAGAAACTGAAAGGTCTTGAGAGGATGGGTGTGGGCTGAACACATCTACTATGAAATGATCAGTGGTTATTAGTATTTCAATGAATAAAATGCTATGCTGTAGAAACATGGACATTGTTTATGTTCTGTTACAAAATCGTTTATGATAAGGGATGGCATGGATGATGATGATAATAATCCTTGCATTAGATTTAGCACTTTATCACATCTTTCGAGACGTCTCAAAGCGCTTTACAGAATATACTGTCAAGTTAATTGACTGAATATTTTGTGGGCGAAACGCAGCAGCCAGTTGCGCACAGCAGTGTCCCACATACAGTTGTGGATTGAGTGACCAATTTATTATTTTATTTTTTGAAGGAATTATTACCCCTGGAAAAGCGATCCGCCAATCGACTAACAACCGGGTTCCTACTTACTGCTAGGTAAACAGAGGCGTGTGGAGTAAGGAAACTTGCCCAACGTTTCGCACTGCTGGGAATCGAACCCAGGTCTCTTGCTTGCGAGGCGAGTGCTCTAGCCACTGAGCTACAGGACTCCACTATGGATGAGTGTAAGTGAATATTTCAGAACCAGGCTTAAACAAATAAGCAATACAAATTGATCAGTAGAATAAGAGCTTTTGACAGCTGAACTATAAATGGCCACTAACAAGGAATACTGCTCAAAAAGGCACTTGGAGAATTGCAATACAAATGCAGTACCCAATTACCCAAGGTTCTAAGTACTGTAGTTGTGTACATTAATTTCTCTTAAAATCAATCAATTTTAATGTGGTTGTACCAAAAATCTGATTCAGAATCATGAGCTGCACATGCTTATGTAATCCTTAAATATGTGGAGGTTTGTTTGGTAAAATGGATCTTTCCTCTTTAAATTTTCTAATTAAAAGTATATAAGTGAAGTATCACAAGGCCAAGAAGTTCAAATGTTGTTATCGTTAAGTATGTAATTTTTATGTACGGTTTGCGGTCTTGTTTTCCCCACCAGTGGCTATCTGATTAGAAGTGGCTGTGAGGAGAGAGCGGTGGGAAGGGCCGAGCCAGTCCAGAAGACGCCTGCTCGGTTAGCTGGGCTCAGGGGGAACTGCTAAACATGACCGATATAACCATTGTGAAAGAAGGATGGGTCCAGAAAAGGGGTAAGATTAATTTTATTTTTCGAATGCATTTTATGATGTTTGAATGTCCCAGACAAGTGAGAAATATTTGTAAATCCAAGATTTTCTAAGAAGAAGGGATATGGGCCACAGTGGAGTGAGTATGCAAATGCCTATTTACAACAGTGAAATGTGTGGTAAGTTAAGTGTGTTTTTCTGTTGTATTTTGATTGAGTGGCAAATTTTGATAAACTTTTCCACTTAAGTGCATCTGCTTAAGTTGTGCATGTATGTATTCAATACTATTTGGGTAGGAAACAAATCTATTTATGTATTAGGATTGGCTTAGATTCATTGTTTTTCTTGTGTTCAATTGTTTCTTAGTAGTAATGTTGTGGTTGGTCCTTAGTGGCGTATGTTTATTCGCTTGTGTGATCTTAAAAATAGAGTAAGTGATTAGGGACTGTTGAGATGACAAAATAATTTCCTGTTTACTTCAGTGACTTGCCTCCCTGTGGAGGATTGTGCATTTTTCTATTGCTGTAGTTTTTTTTAAAAACAATAATATCCAGTGCTTTAAGGGAGAATGTCTGTGGTGCTCACACTATATTATGGATTGTGTTTGGATAGATTCTGAAACATTTATGATCATTGACAAGATAAAAGGTTAATGATCGGTTCAAAATTTTAAAGTTACACAGTACCATAAGATTTGCAAACATAAGCAAGTCTTGGAATTAAACAGGCATTCAAGCTCACCTTTGTTCTTGTGCTTAAAAAAATGCATGTTATTTTAAATATTTTTGTTTCAGAAACACCTTATTGATATGTATCAAAACTTTTTTTATCTAGCAGAGTGAGCAGATGTATGTTTCCGTGCTTTCCACTATGTCTGTATGGACAGAAACCCATCATCTTAAAACTAGTGGCTCATTCGCTTGCTTCCAGGTTTTAATTATCTTTCCAGTGTGTAATATTAACATTGATTCCACAATCATGCAGTAATGAACTTGTGATACCGAATCAATGTGTATAGAATTTGTAAACATGATATATTGAAAATGTAATAATATGTTATATTATAATAGAAAATACAGTTAATAGAAATATATTCAATTCACTTTACAGCATATTCTGTGAAGCGCTTTGAGACATCTTAAAGACATGATAAGGTGCTATATCAAATGCAAGTATTATTATACATTAAAATGATCCAGAACATTGACCATGTCTCATTGCTGAATATGTAAATAGTAATTCCAGAACAGTTTCAAAACTGTCTTAATATTTGATTAAAAGCTCCATAAGATTGACTCTTGTTGCACCTTACTGGTTCTTGAACTTCCAGATCAGTTTCTTTGGTGGAATTGCTGTGTTTCTAATTAGATTCCATGGCACCATGATTCCATGTTTTTCTCAAATATTAGAAATTGTACTTCAGGATTTTACTTGTATTCAGCTGATTTTTTTTCTATGTCTTGGGCACGTTTGGTGTCTAACAATGTGGAGTTCTCTATTATTACTGAATAAGGTGATATTGGAAAATGGTGAAGCTCAATTTTAGATTTGGTACTTGCATCCATTATTTTCAAATAAAGTATTGGCAGTCGATGCATTGGTTTTATTGGAAGTTGTGATTTATTCTAATAACTTGTTGCAAATACCTATGTTTTAACAGTGAGTTATTTGATAAGGGAATTGTTAATTCAAGTAGTAGAATACATGTGATGATAAAATACCAGCAATGAAAATGTTCTTTTATTAGTGAGCAGGCGCACGTTGTAATGTGATAAAGGGTTGTGCAGCTTTTACTGGAACAGCAAAATAAATCACCAACTTAATCTTGAACATTTATTTTAAAAAGGTGCTCCTTTTGATAATAGTAATATATAAAGTCTGGGCTTGTTATTGTTTTTCATGTTTTGCTTGACACAGTCAATATACTGTAATGTCTCATTTCAGTTTGTGGCCTTGAAAGTGGGGAAAAAAATCAGATTTTGAAGAAATGATTGCATTTAACTTATTTTTAGTTTACATTGTTGAATGCTAACATGGAATCCAAAACCTCTTCAAAAATGAACAAAATTAGTCTTGTCACAAACCTTTCCATTTGTCATGCTTGTGCTGGTAAACCTGTTTACTTGATGCACTAGGAGACTAAGTAATTGGTCACAGAATGTGCTCAGCACACTGCAATGGTTCATATTCTTATTGATTTGTGCATCATGCAAGCCTTGTTTGTGTCCATGACCTTATTAGTGAGCATCTTAGAGTTGGAAAAAATCTTCTGATGTTGCAACTTTTAGAGTTTGTAGATATTCTAAATATTTGGTTCATCACTGGCTAACATCGCATTTTCAAGCCTATGTGTTTGGATTGCTTTACTAAAGAGATTTTCACAACCTTATAATACGTCTTGTGTGGGCAAACATATTTTGTTTGAATGCTTAAGCTTTTTGAATGCTTAATTTTCTCTGTGCACAGGTTCCAAATTAAAAGCTTTTTAATGGCTTTATATTAATGATTTGAATTAACTTTTTAATACTCAGTTCTGAATGTGGCATTGACTTGAGAATCCATTTTAATATAAGAGAATTTGAAAATATGTTTCATGTCTGTGGTCAGAGTTGACTAAGACAGCTCCTCCATCGTCAAACATTAACTTGTTTTTTGTAATAATCCTAATTTTGCCTTGCAATTCAAAACGACAAAATATCCTTTGCTGGTTAAACTCCAGCAATACCCCAATGCACACTCTGGGGTCTTCAAGCCTGGACTCTTGTCAGCTTGTGCCTTATCCTTATAGGAAAGAAAAAAATCTCTGGAATTAGGTAAGCGGGGTGCGTTCTTCCAGTGAGTGAGGACACATTTTTTCTAGACACAGGCTAATTTCCATGTATATGTTGAACTCTGTTGTTCAACTCAAGCATGTTGATGTGTTTCTGCATATGTTAGACATACTTATTTGACCAAAACAACAGTTTTGCAGCCCGTTTTGCAGTTATTTTGTTGACTATTGCACATTTGTAAAATTGGGGTTACGAACTGGAGATGAAACAGAAAATTTGACTCCTATCTAATCAGTTGGTGGGATTAATGTTTCTCCATGATCCTTAGAAGGAGGAGTGGGTTAAAGAAGTTCTAGTGTTGTAATGTGATCAAAACGAATATTCTATGCTCATTGAAATTTTGAGAACTCTGTAATTTGTACTGCTACTTTAGGTATTTGATGTAAACTATTACAATACACCCCACTTATTAAGGTTTTAGATGAGATGTTAAGTCGTGGTCCAATCTGCCTGTTCAGTTGGGTGTTAAAGATCCCAAGGTTCTATTCAGAAAGAGGAGAGAGCTTCACCTGGTTCCTGGTCAACATAATTTGTTATTGCTGTTTGTAGGCAACCGCTGCATGCAAATTGGCCATTATGTTTGCTTACAAAAACACTCATTACATTTTACTGAAATTTGGTGAAGCATTTTGAGGCATTGAATTATTTATATACAAGTTTTAGTTTATTTTACTGATAAAGCTGTCTTGCTTATGTTGTCTTGCATGACATTCAAACCCCTCTCTGAGACTTTGTAATTTTCCAATGTGGCTACTCCTCTACTGAACAAAGATAACTGATGTTTAGCATTTATCTAGTCAGGCATGTGTCTGATGCATACAGAAACCCATCACCACGCTGAACATTATCTGAACCAGACTGAGAGTCTGACATTTGTATGACACTTCCAAATGGATTTTTCCCTGGAAGGGACGCATCTTGCTTATCTAATTTGGGAATGATTTAGACCCAGGCTGGCAAGAGCCAAAGCTTGGGGAACCAACAGTGTCCTTCGGATTACTGATGAAGTTTAACCAGCATAAACCACATTGTTTGTCATTGAGAGCATTGTTTGTCAAGCTTTCTGAGGCTTGTCTGGCTAAGACTACCCTACTTGTTAGCATTTTGGCTTGCTTGCAAGATTAAAAGGAGCTGAGTGGAAAGAATACCTGCTCCCAGGTGTATCTTGACGAGCCAGGCTGGCTGGCCTGCATGAATATCGCTCTCGTGTTCTGTGACCCCGCTTAACTCAGGAACTGGACCGCTGAGACTGCCATAGAGGGTTGACTTGATTTTCACATTGCATTGCTGAGCATCACCTTGGAGATCCTGCTTACCTCTTCCTTTTAATTCACCCCCCCACTGGCCCAGGGGGGATAGTAAATGTTTGTGTCGGTATATGTACAATTCCCTATGTTTGTATACCAGCATAGGTGCTTTGCTGTATGAAAATGATTATAATGTTGAGTATGATATGATCAAGGAACCCAATTTGAAAGTTTTTTTTTTAAAAAGTGTCTTATAAACAGGAATACTCAATTTTATTTCCTTGAGTTTTGAATGTATTTTACAAAGTGCATTACTCGAAGCAGAAGAATTGATGTTTTAATTTTTTGTCTCTGCTTATCAACCATATTAATGATTTTTAAAATTAATGGCTACAGGGTCCATTAATGGATCTTGGATTTTGATGGTCTTCAGTTCTGAATATTGTATTATATTGGTCATGGCCTTACTTCAGCACAGACAGATTTAACAGCGGCTGAAGTGATCTTGATTCAGTGTTTTGATGACTGATTAAATAATGGATATGTTTAACTTGGCATTCCACAATTGAAGTGCAGTCGGTGTAATTTCTTTTGGTCAGATGCTTTGTACACTGAGACTTCAAAGACTAGTGCCTTTTTGTTGTGAATAGCGAACCCCTTAGACAAACCAGAATAACATTTTCTTCTTTCTATACAAATTGATTGTCAGCCTGGCTCATTGGCCACACTCTTGCCTTGGAGTCAGAAGGTTGTAGGTTCCAGCTCCATGTCTGGATTTGAACTCAAAGTCTAGGCTGGCACTTTGGTGGAGTGCTTTAGGCGGTTGCATTGTCAGAGATGCCATCTTTTGGGTGAGACATTAAACAAAGGTCCTGTCCATCTGTTTAATTGATCATTAACGTTCCCATGGCACTATTCGAGAAGGGAGATGTCCTGGCCATATAAA